TTTTACCTACATCGGACGAACAGTTTACAAGATCATTCCCGGACAAAAAAGTTCCAGGAAGAAGAAGAAGAAGAAAAATAATAATAATAATAATAATAAGAAACAGAGTAAAAACAATATGTTCCCCAACTTCGTTTGGGGAACATAATTTGTGACAGGTACCCACTTCACGGCTTTCGTAAACATCGAGCGCAGCTTTGTTCAAAGTCGACATCAAAATATAATGTGTATATTAAATTTATACGGATTGTGTGAAAATATCTTTGTTGAACAACATTGCGCTCTATGTCTTCTACTTAAAAGTATCATGATTTTGAATCTGTTCGGTGAGTACATTTACATAGGATTAACCTCTTGTTGACCTGCTAAGAATAGATAATATGTCACGTGATTCCATTCCGCCACAGGTGAATACCTTTGGAAAGCGTGTTTTCTGTACTTAGCTCGTATTTGAAATATGCAAACACCAGCTTTCATTTTTTTAAATAAAAAAAGGCTTTCAATAGACTTCGATGAATATAACTTATGTTAAACTTTGACGATTTTCCGGGACATTTTTTTTTAAATTTTCATGCACGTAATCGAAATATTCCTGTTCATTGCGAAAAGCACACGCGTAGATGTATATAAATACCCATTAAATCAATTTCTTGCGAAAAAGAAAAGCAGAAAATACCAAACACGTAATAATTTCTTCACATTTAATCAGTCTTAACATATGCACTCACATACTGACCACTTCAATATTCAAAGCAACTTTATACTCTTGTCACATTTTTGGATGCTAGCTGCATATAAAATTTATATAAACCGGGAAAAACTCCGAATGTATTTATAATCGATAAGTAAATCCGAATTTACAGCGAAGTTAAGAAATTTATATACATGTCAGGCAGGTAGTACCTGGGGGAGGGGTGACCCATTCTTTTCAGGGATAAATCTTGAGTTCTTCGACCCCCCCCCCCCCAGAAAAAAGAAAACTTTCATACGCCTTTACGCTGTTACAATATAAATAAACACACATTAATGTTAACCAATCAGATTGACTGTATAATTCTGAAGGATAATAATGTTTATTATTTCTTATCTCACGCTACAATTCACCGGTGTCTTCCTTTATATAATACCTAATTTAAATGTCTCCGCCCATTTGTATGTAATAGAAGAACCGTACTCTGTTCGAAAGAAAATGTTCCGGAATTTGTGTGTTCAGTAGGTGTTGGAAATCGGCTTGTATTTCTTGACATTCCAGAATATTAATAATGATTGTACAAAATGTTAATTAGAAATACTTTTTTATACACAATGAAACTAAAAATAATACCGTATCCTCATGTATATTCTGTAAAATAAGGGCAAAAAAGGGACCACGCTGCTATACTTAAGTGGAAAACTCCTTTCACAAATAAATCTTTCAAAGAGCTTAGGGAGACCGTGAAACTTGGTCACAATAGCAACAGTCAATGAAAGATGCATGGGTTTTAAAAAAGCATTTGCATTTTCAATAATATGTTGAAAGCAGATTTGTTTACATTAAAAATATAAAATGCTTGTATAATACACTATTGTAAGCATCTTTCATCGATTTACAAAGCAGAAGAGGATGCGTTAAAAAAAATAATGACCGCCAAATTGATTTTCTATAACTTTTGAATTTAATTTTTACCTTAATATATGTCATCATAAAACATCATATTTAAAATTCTGTTGAACAATAAAAAGACTAGAAGTACTGTGAGAACTGACTTCACTAAATGATACCCCCTCCGCCTCCCATATGAGAATAATGGCAAAATTCATGTTTTGCTATGAGACATCCCGAAATATGTGACCGATCAAAAGGTAAATAAGTGGAGGCACCAAGATTATGTTAAAGTGACATTCAGTGGTATAAGAGGAGTAGCGGATGAGACTGGACGGACGGACGGACATCCTGATCACTATATTGTGACAGTATATGCTCACTTACTTTTTAAGCGGAGGGTATTATAAATGCGTGAAAAAAAATCAGAATTTTTTATTAGTATATTGACCTTCATTTGAAAACTAGAGGTACTGTGAGCAATGAACTCACTAAATGATACCCCGCCTCCCATATGAATATAATGGCAGTGTCCATGTTTTGCTGTGGGAAACCCAAAATATGTGTCGGATCAAAAAGTAAAACATGAGGTCACAATGGCACTATGTAATAAAGATTCTCAGAAAGTCTCATCAAATTTCATTCTGTGGTATAAGATGAGTTGCGGATAAGAGATGGGTACTCCAAAGCGTAACAAACGGACGGACGGACAGCTAGACGGACGAATGGACATCCCGATTACTATATACTCTCCGCTTTTCAAGCCGGGGGTATAATAAGAACTGCACAATGACACTAAATAAGAAACAAAGATTCTGTTAATGTCTCATTGAATTTCATTCAGTGTTATAGGATTAGTTGCATTTAAGAGAGTGCGTAACAGACAGACGGACGGATATCCTGATCACTGTATACCATCCCACTTTTCAAGCGGGGGTATAAAAGATGCACACGGAAAATTAAAAGCACTAGTCTAGAGTGCAACAATTTTTTATACCCCCGCTTGAAAAATGGGAGGGTATAAAGTGATCGTGATGTCCATCCGCCTTTCTGTCTTTCCGTCTTTTACGCTTTGAGGAACCTTTCTCTAGTCCGCAACTCTTCTTATACCACTATATGAAATTTCATGAGAGTTTCACATAATCTTTATTGCCATTTTGCACTCCTATTTAATTTTTGATCGGACAAATATGTAAGGTTTCTATGCAAAACATGGACATTTCATTTTTTCTATAACATAATTATTGAAGGGTACCCATCTCTCATCAGCAACTCATCATATACAGGGTTCTCCACAAGGGGTTTTACCGTGGCGGCCCGCCATGGTTAAATTTATGTGCGCCATGGTTAAACGAGCTGCGCCATGGTTAAAATCGGCAGCCGCTATGATTAAATTTTATTGCATTTCAGTCCTGACATCTAATTTTTTAATGACTTGAGTAGTTAATTTTGTTCATACAACGGCCGCCATGCACCTCGCACGCCTCGAAGGAAAGCGGGATGTGCTTAACAAACACGTTGTTATTGACTCGCTAATCGGGGACTATGCTGTGAAGTGTGACAATCAATAGAGAGTCAATCAGCTGATCAGATGATAAATATATTGAGAGTTAATTATCCTGTACACATGTAAATAATTTAGTGGAACTAAAATATGTTCACTACCTGATTAGACATGTAATGGATTTAAAAAAGATAACAATAAAACGTCATGCATGCGATTCAAGTTTCTGTGCCAGAAAAAAAAAATACTACATGTATGTAAAATTTTCATATTCCTCGGTATTTACTGTAATCAATTTCCCATGCTCTTTTTTTAAGCTTTAACTTTATTATCTTTTTGATAAAATGTGCATAGGGGGTTACGTCTTAATCGCCGTCTTAGTTTTAGAGTTACTTCCCGTTGTTATGAAACATCGCGTGGTGCTATTTTAGCACTGGGCACGTGAAGAAGTAAACAAAACTGTGAAATATGCAATATCTAGAAAACTAAAACATTTAGAAATAAGGGACACTGGTCCAAATGTTCCTCTGTGTGTTAACTTCAAAAAATACTACCCATTCATCAGTTTTAGCCATATTGAAACAAAAAATTTCATACAACAGACTACAATTTTTCTGAAAAATATTGCCATGGTTACTGACTTATTGTATCAACAATTTTTCTTTTAAATCATTCAGAAGGTTACAACAGTTTTGGGCAAATTTTGGTACATTTGTGAAGTAAGATACAGGAGAATTAAATCCTTTTCAATTTATTATTTTTTTAACTTTAAAAAGTGTTACTTATTCCATTGTTATGTGTTGCAGTTTGAAAACTGTAAAACCAATTATTGATTAATGAAGATTAGGAAGTATATCACACATTCGTGTTTTTTGATCACATTTCGCCTTCGCGCAGCTTCCTCCATGGTTAAATTTTCAAATGTGGAGAACCCTGATATACCACTGTGAGCACTGAGTTTCCTCCCATTTGATTATAATGACAAAGTCAATGTTTTGCTCCGAGAGACCCGAAGTAAGTGTCAGATCAAAAAGTAAAATAGGAGGTGCACAGCGGCATTATGTAATGAAGAATCTTTGAAAGTATCATTAAATTTTATTCGATGGTATAGGAGGAGTTATGATAATGTCTATGAGGAGGAGTATTAATTGTATTTCACATGCATAGTTGTTCTATTTTGATTTTAAAGGTTTATTGGGATGTTAATATGTGAGCAAATGTATTGTAAAGAACTAGAGGTACTGTGAGCAATTACTCACTAAATGATACCCCCGCCTCCCATATGGATATAATGGCAGTGTCCATTGTTTTGCTGTGGGTAACCCAAAATATGTGTTGGATCAAGAAGTAAAATATGACGTGCACAATGGCAATATGTAATAAAGATTCTGTGACCAAATTTCATTCAGTGGTATAAGAGGAGTACGTTGCGGATAAGAGATGGATACCCCAAAGTGTAACAGACGAACAGACAGAAAAACGTGGTTAAATATATACAATTTTGTACCAAATATCTGATCTAGCCAATTTTCATGTTCTTTTTAAGCAAATCAGAACTGACTATCGGGAAATTATTTTCATTTCCCATTTCACAGGAACCAGATAAATAGAAAAAATGTAAAATTTCATGTGTCATTTCGATAAAATTTTCACTTTTCAACTACGCCCAGATTCCTGCCGAATGCCAATCAACCCCCCCCCCCCCCCCCCCAGACACACACACACACCCTCACACACACCCTCACACAAGAGAAAATCTGGAACTACCCCGAGTATTGGAAAATATTAAATAAAGGGAATAGTTATACATATTCAATATTTTTTTTATTAATAAAGTCCATTCATAATTTCCCTTGCAAGAACGTCATAATAACATCGGGTTCGATATTTAGAAAAAGACCCAATTTTCGCGGAAATTCGAATTTCCTTCGCTGGGCGCCTCCGAAATGTGATGAGCACTAAAAATGTCTCTATCTACACAGCATGATGACAGTGACAGTCATTATGTATTGCTGGCAAAGTTGGACAACGCAAGGAATGTTTCAAATATACTGAAAGCAATCCATTTCAAAGAGGTATTTATAAAATTTTCAAAATTTATGTGTCAGAGTTGAAACAACAAATGAACTATCCATTCCAGAACACAAGGTCTGTACAATCCGTTTATATGTAAGTGCTCTTTGTTTATAATAGAAGGTAATTTAGTTTATTACAAAGAGACATGAGTCACAAATTTTTACTTAGGTTTTTTTCTTGTATCTGTGTTTTAACATCAGTGTTTCTGTTGTTGCGACATGCAACAATTTATGAAAGGTAAAAAAGTGAGCTATTTCAGTTAGAATTACTGAAAAAATTAAATTGACACCTTATTTGCATGGTTTGTACATATAATTGTTTTGATTGCTGCCTTTCATTAATTCATTTACAAAACATGAGAAAATAAATGTACAAGTTTTTTATTAGCCTTAGATTAGAGACATATAAAATAGGTCTCTGCTTGGATATAGTCCATAGTACGTTATGTTTCTATAGTTAATAACAGAGTCTAAAATAAACCACTATACGATCAAGACGCATTTCTATTCTTTCCACAACAATTTTGGTGCCGTGATCGACGGAATGTCTACATAATACGTAAAATGGAAGGAAGACTAAAAGCCATACGGGCCGGTAACAGATCAGCGGTGACGAAACTTTTCGGACGATTTTTGGACTTGAAAGAAAATACAGCCAGTGAAGTAACGGAGGAAATCGAAATAATCAGAAAGTCCTTAACGCAAAAAAGACAAACTCTACAAGAACTAAATGAACGCATATTAGACGCATTATCTGAAGAGGACATAGAAGAAGAAATCACAAACACAGATGAGTATATGTACGAATTAGACTGCAAAATTAAGAAAACAGAAAAATTTACAGAAAAGGTTTCATGTAAAACTTTGAACGCCGGTGCTGAGTGTTTTGTACCCGCCTTAGAAATTCATGATAGTAACGTAAACACTTCAGCTGCAATTAACTCAAGTGAAACGGCTTGTGAGAATATTCTAAACAATTTTCCTGCCACTGATCTCGATGAACAAAATAACCAGGATTGGCAGAAAAATGTTTTGTCATTACCATCTAACCACAAATAATCATCGACTACCGAAACTAAATCTTCCACATTTTGACGGGGATATACTAGAATGGAATACATTTTGGGATTCATACGAATCGACAATTCACCGCAACCAAACTTTAACACCAATTCAAAAGTTTTCGTATCTCAAGGCTCAATTACAGGACGCAGCAGCACAAACCATTGCAGGATTTACTCTCACAAATGCAAATTATGAAACCGCCATAGACCTGCTCAAGGAACGGTCTGGTCAACCGCAAAAAATTATCAATGCACACATGAGAGCACTTATGGAACTGCATGCCCTGAGAAACGACGCCATAAGTTTAAGAAATTATGGAGACTGCTTGGAATCTCATGTCAGGAGTTTAGAGTGTCTTGGACAAAAACAAGAAATGTACGGAGCTTTACTTATTCCAGTCATAATCAACAAGCTACCAGCTGAAATCAGGAAAAACATTGCACGTGAGTACGATGGTGACAACATTTCACTACACAATCTTCGTAAAGCAATCAGCAAAGAAGTCAAAATCCTTGAATCAGGCCAGATTGAAAACAGCGATGGATTCCACGCAACAGCAATGTTTCTTACCGGAGCCTCAAAGAAACAACGCCATGTTCATTATGGACACAACCAGAAAACAAAAGAGTCAACTCCTTATGTCGAAACAACAGAGATAAAGAGCCGCCCATGCATTTATTGTTGCACAGAGAATCACTTTCCAGGGGATTGTAAGAAAGTTACAGAAGTGAATACAAGATTCGACATCTTAAAACGGAAGAAATTATGCTTCAACTGCTTAGGAAACCACCGCGCCGCAGATTGTAAATCCCGCAACAGATGTAAAAAGTGCCAGAAGAAACATCACACAAGTATATGCGACATGAAACTAACGAGGGACGGAGACGAGCCAGAGCCCACCAGATCAACAAGTGTCAACATTGTAGGAACGAGCAAACCAAATACTACAGAAATGAACGTTGAACAACGACATAAAAGTGTTTTATGGAAATCAGCTTCCACTCCGATGAGTCGGACTGTGGACTCCATTCAACAACGTAGCAAACTGACTAACGAGATACAGCAACTTAAGTCAGAGCTGAAGACTAAGACAGAAAGGATGAATACGTTGGAACAAGAAAATGCTATTATGCTAGAGAGATTGTTAAATTTCGACCAACAAAGAAATTTTCAGGCTCGTGTGGAGAATGGGATGAAGGATATGATCGAACAGATAAATAAACTAGCGTATAACGGACACCTGCATAACGAGGTTCAGGAATTAGAGGACCAAGTTGTTAATATCAAAACCTACAGCACTCACTTGGAGCATTTTAATGCTAAAAACAGCAGTCTTCAGTCATGATATGATTACGCCCAAAGGCAAATAAGTGATCTAAATATCAAAGTACAGACACTTGAAAATCAGCTACAAACCTCACAGGGCCCCGTGGAAAGTAGGGAGAAAGATCACACGTTCGCCGTAAGGATCCGTGATGACACACGAAGGGAAGAAACTCAGATGACAGAAAAACGTACAGAGGCTGAGGAGAAGGAAAAAGAAAAATCACAGAAAAAGAATCTCAGGGACATGGCAGAGATAATAAACAAAATGCCAATCTACGGACTCGAAACATGGAACTGGAGAAATCTAACACAGAACTATGTCACAAACATCCCGGGACTGAGACTCTGATACAAAACCTGGTAGATAAATTGTCGGAACAGAAGAGGATCGAGTGTCAAAAACAAAAGCCAAAGAAAGAATCCGTGAATGGACCTCTTAATTAAGTGATTATGAACTTGATTTTATTTTAAATTTCAATGAACTGTTAATTTGATTTGAACTTTTTAATATTCTAGTATAATATTCATTTCGGTGCCCGGAGTGTCACGGATTATCCGCGGGTTTATGTAACGTACGTTAACGTTATTGTTACGTCACAATACTGTACGTTATGTTTCTATAGTTAATAACAGAGTCTAAAATAAACCACTATACGATCAAGACGCATTTCTATTCTTTCCACAACATCTGAAGTCGGTCTGTCTGTCTGTCTGTAAACTTTTCACATTTTCGTCTTCTTCTTCAGAACCACTGGACCATTTTCAACTAAACTTGTCACAAAGCATCTTTTGGTGAAGGAGATTCAAGTTTTTTTCAGATAAAGGGCCACGGCCTGATTCAAGGGGAGATAATTAAGAAATAGTGAAAATTTAGTGGCATGTTTAAAAAATCTTCTTCTCAAGAACCACTAGGTAGGGAAAGATGAAATTAATGTGGAAGCATCCTCAGGTAGTGTAGATTCAAGATTGTTCAAATCATAACATATGGGGGTAGGGTGGGGCCACAATAGATGACCAAAGTTTTACCTAAGAATATACAGGAAAAGTCTTTACAAATCTTCTTCTCAAGAACAACAAAGCCATGATTGATCATATTTATATAGAAGCATCCTCAGGTAGTGTAGATTCAAGTTTGTTCAAATCATGACCCCTGGAGTAGGGTGGGGCCACAATGGACAACCAAAGTTTGGAAAAAAGCTACAGTAAGTTGAAAAAATTTGTAAACATTCTTTGTAGATTCAAGTTAACTCAAATCATCCCCTCTTCTGCCTTTTTGGGGAGGTTTGGACCCCATGCATTTAAGGTTTTCAAAACTGGATTGATTTTACCTTTTTTCCAAGCCACAGTGCTCAGGTGAGTGATGTGGCTGATGGGCCTCTTCAAGTCTTGTTTGTTTTCTTAATGAAAAGAACGATTATTCTGTAAAATTAATAATCAGTAACAAATTTAAGTGTCTGTTACTGTATATTATTAGGCCTAGAAAAAAATATGTTTGTTTCCGCTTTCCCGACCTTCCCTATTTTATAGTGCCGACCCTAAATATTTTTTTAATGTTTTTGTCCCATGATGTGCAAGATTTCACCCAGGGAATTATAGTCTCCAACTTTGCAAGCTTTCCAAGACAGAAAGAAGTTTTGGTCACCTTTGTATTATAAGTTTAAGTCACAGATTTGCTTTAAAACACCATTTCTTTTGTCATTAATGTTATTTCTGAACAAGTTTTGATTAAAAAAGCAAAAAAAAAAAAAATTTTCAAAAAAAAAAAAAGAAATTGCCTACCTACCTACCCTATATTTTTTCAGCCTGAAAGTGGAAACAAATATATTTTTTTTCTAGGCCTTATGTTGATTCTCTTTTAAGACAGCAACAGTTTTTGCAAGCTCCCTAGGGATCAAGGTGACGGTGGAAGATTCCAAATGTGTTCAGGCCAATGCCTTTATCCAGGAGGGAGTGTTCCATCATTTCAGTGTTAAAGATGAACAGATCACATTCAAAATTAACCTGACTGTTCTTCTGGTAATTCTTATTCATCCAGTTTCCTAATTTTATGATAACCATAGTTTTCATAATTTTTCAAGTGTTCATTGTAATTCACAAGTTAATAAATGATTTTAGGAATGCCTGACAATATTTGGGAGCACCTCTTTGCCGGGGATTACTACCAGTCTAAAAATGTGTTATGCTGGCTATGGATGTCCCTTGGTTCTAGTGTAAGTCATGCCTCTGTCTTTTCTAAACATGATTTATGTTCATATATTTGGGTCCATTTCTTCATCTAAATTGGTTTGTTCAAAGATAATTTGTTCCTTTTTAAGCTAACAAGATTAAAGGAGAAAATTGGTATGCAGTACGTGTTTTCAATAAGATTTTGAATAGAAGGAAAAATAGATGGAATAGCAGGAAACCAGTCTCGGCGAGGGGTCTGGGCAGAGCCCTGGTAGGGGGCCCAGGGGGCGAAAATCGAAGGTTTTTACAACATTTGGATCTGTACCTCTCTGCTTTATCTGTCCGAATTTTCTCAAGCAGAGAGCTACAGCTCTGCAGCTAAGTCCGTTCAGAACTTTTATTCATATATAAATAAAATTATTTAGTTAAAAATTTAAGATTTTTTAAACACTTGGTGGTGTACAGTACCCCCTTAAAATTGAAATAATCTGCAATCTTAGACTTTTAATAAAATAATCTTTAAACCGATTTAATTTTTTGACATTTTGTACAGATTGTCAGAACAAAGTAATTAAGAAAATGGAATTTGATACAAAATACTAGTACATTAAATTCTTCCCAAATGTGAAAACGATACTGTCCCTCTATTTCAAGAGATCTTACACGAATAAATGAGAATAAAATTTTCAGTTTGGTGATATTCTGTAAGAATTTCTACGTCTGAGTCACGTCTTAGCTTAACATTTGATATTTTCATTTTGAGTATATTCTGTAAGAATTCATACATTTTTTAGTAAGGTCTTAAAATTATATTGGCCTAGATATAGATATTTGCTGTTGTTTCACCGGGGAACCCCTCACTTAATATTGAGTCTGTGGCACAATCAATTTCAAATCGAAAATTATAAAACACAAACAAATCTTTTCGGAAGGGACCATACTTTATGCCTCTTAATGTATGTGATCTCAAACGCATGTGTTACAGCAGCAGCACGTTTCTCCACGACTTCGCTCAAATATTAGTTGTCCGCGACGCCATATTACATGACACTGTCGATCTAATCAAACTTCCTTGAAAAAAGAGCGCACTCAAGGGAAGCTACTCTAGATCATGGAAATAGTTGCGATAAAATCTACGGATTTCACGTATCAGCCCCGGCAAAATCCTAATGCCGGAAATTTCATAGCCGGCAAAATTTCTCGTACAGGCAGTTAATTTTGCTGGTTGCCGGCTCTTATTGAAAACACTGGGTATGTGGAATATATTTTTCCTTTGATAAGTTTTGTTATATTAAAGACTTAATTAATTTGAAATTTTCCTTTAGTCTTGAAGAGGAAGGTGTGCTTACAGACTGCACAATAAAAACCCTGGAACCAGATGAAGTTCTGGACTTTAACTTTTGTAGTTCAAATGTGATTAACAAAATTATCATGAAAGTAAGTCATGAATAAACATGATAAATTTATTTCATTCTTTAATAATACAATTTGAAGATGAAGAAAAAATTGTCATTTCTATCTTTCTTTCTTTTTTTTTTTTTTGTTTTGGTCACTGTGATTAACTTTTCTTTAACACATTTGATTGTGGTATTAGTAATTTAATCACATTTATTTTCGTCTGAGGTGAAATGAATTTTGTTGATGCAGATACTCAGTCTTTTTTTGTTTACAGTCAGAATGTCTAAAGGAAGCATTCAGTGAGCTGGACTTGACCAGTGATATATTACAGATTCTAATGTCCCCAGATCAGCCCTATTTTAGACTGTCAACATTTGGTAATGCTGGCAGCACACATGTAAGTATACAGGTTATATTTTGTTATACTCTACTTTTCCTTACATTTTCAGTCAATCAGATTTTTAGAATTATATGGTTTGGAAAGAAAATTACACAACTTAACTCAAGTAATGAGTTGGAAGCAGAAATTATATCTTTACATAAAATTCAAGTTAATTACTTAACCCACTACATGCATATGCAAGTTATTGATCTGCAGAAATTTTTTATGTACATATAGGAGCTTATTCAGTGGATGTGTATTATTCTTCATTTGTTATATTCAATTTTAGTCGGACTTTCCTAAAGACTCTGATATGGTGGAGTCCTTTCTCTGTACTCAGACACAGACAAACAGGTAGACAAAATAAGTATTATTTCCAAAAAGACTGTAAAAAAAAAGTTTGCAAGTTGCTGAATCAATAATTTAATTGGTAAAACAAGCATATAATAAAATGATGATATTTATACATGTATACAATTCCTTCTGAAATTTAAATTAAAGTTACACTTTTTATCAAAATTCTTAAAATGTAATATTATTTTTGAAATAATAAGGCACAGGCACTTGGGGTATGGACCCCCCTTTCCATTTTTTTTTCTTTTTAAATCTGGGATAACATGGGTCAATGCACATCACCCAAGATTTGGGTGATTTCATCGAAATATTTACAAATCGGGGGCACATAAAAACGAAATGGAAAAATAAAAAGGAAGAGGAATGTATAACAAATTTATTAACGTGTGCATATCCCATGTTTTATTCTGGTTTAGATAAATAATTGAGCGAAGTTTATTTAAGCGAGGTGAGGCGGATATGAGAAAAGAGTTGCAAGCCTTCTCTCTTTTTATGTATCAGTCGAAAATGATATTTTTAAGCACATCTTTTACAAACAAAAGAGTTGCATTATTGATAATATATAGTGCATATTAGAATACAAAAATAGGAAAAAGGCGACTCGATCCCAGATTTAAAAAGAAAAGTAAAAATGGAAGGGGGGTCCATACCCCAAGTGCCTGTGAAATAAAGAAGAAAATATTGTCCCTTTTAGATACAAGATCTCCCTACTGAAGCCCTCAGTGAAAGCTCTAGCCTTGTCCACTCGAGTGTCGATACGGACAGATAATCGAGGCTTCCTGTCTCTACAGTACATGATCAAAAACGAAGACGGACAAGTCTGCTTTGTGGAGTACTATGTAAGTTGCATCCCATTTCATCTTTTAGTTCTTTTCATCTGTACTTGAAAAAGTTTTTATATGAAAGTTACTCAAATTGAAAAACAGATTATAATGTATACAAGGAATTTTCATCCCCATTTTATTTTTGTCCCTTTTGCTATTATCACAGTTGGACAAATAAGAAGTGGAACAAATTTAAAGAACACAATATTTTTTAAACAGAACGATATCTTGGTGAATTTTAAATGGTACAAAATTGTTTGCAAATGCGAAAGGGTGAAATATGATGAGTTGAAAGTAATCATGTATAAAATACCCCTAAATACCAGTAAGACCTTTCTGTTCTTCAGTGTGCTCCAGATGAAGACATGGACGAAGAAGATGACTAGTTTAAATACATGTCTAAAGACCTAATATTTGTTCTCAGGTTTATGAATAGAATTATTCAGAAGATTTAATAAGTTTAAAGTGATGAATCTAGCCATGTGAAATCGTGTTATATGCTGTACTAGTGTACTAGAAATTCATTTCAAGTTGTAATGAAGGATATATGTATTGGATATATGCCGAACACAGTTCTGTATGAAAAAATATCAGACAGTTTGAGGCCCGTTAGGGCCGAAAACTGTCTGATATTTTTTAACACAGAATTGTATGAGGCATATATCGTACTTAAAACATTGCTTTTGATTTACCTGAGACAGTCCGATATTAGAACAAAAGACAAAGGTTTTAATGACTATTGAAGCAGTTCTTTGAAGAATGCAGGCTTAAATGAAAAGTACTCAGTATTTAGGGATTTGGCTACACTGAATTAAGAGGGTATTTGAAAGAATTTGATAAGGAGAGCGGGGACAAATTTTTCTTCATTAAAACATATACGGATATTAAAGCAGTGCAACGAATTATCACACAGACAAGCTAGTGAATGATAAATTTGGAATGGAGTGGAAAATGCCAATATGAAGAATATCCGCAGAAAATTAAGCAGGTGCTAAAGGTACACTAGTCCATTTAATTTTTGTTTTTGATTTTCCATTACAGAAAAACAAACATATTCAATTATCCAGGAGTTTTGAGGGAAACGTTGAAAATCTTCAAATTTTGTTGCGAATCTGTCACATTAAGTATTCATTATCAGATACTAGGCCTAGTTACCTTGATTTTGCATATAGGTACATGTATTTTTCTTTCTTTGAGAAAAATGAAATCAAATTGTTTGAATGCTGCTCTTTACAGTGTCTAAACTTTGCGTTTAATTATGAATTTATTTTTGGGGCTTTGAAAGTTTATGTGCTTCTCTGGTGACATAACCACTCTTTTTAAAAAACAGAGAAAGGGGTTGAAACATTTCTCCAATTTCAATATATCTATTAGAAGTTTACACGTTCTTGTATTTTTTTTTAATTTGCATTATCTGGTCTGCTGCATGTTCTTTTTTCTATTTCAGTGTATACGGTGTAATTGAAAGTTTAATTTTTTTTTTAATCTTGCAATTCTGTAAGATCAATGTTTCAGAATCGTCATTCTATGTGGGAAATTTAAATTGCTGTTTGTTAAATTATCACATTTTTTATTTCTTTTGTTCAGTAGCAGTCCAATTTTGAAGGATATCAGTACTGAGACAGTCTGATATTACAATTAATATCAGACTGCTCACTAATATCGGACTGCCACAGGTAAACTTTTAGACTGCAAGAACAAAGGAATGACATCACAGCAATGTTTTAAATGTTTATATACATTGTTCATCATAATTATTTTATTTTTACAGGATTTTTAATGTACGATTGTGAACAGAATCTGTTTTCTCTGCTTACATAAATTTGTCATACTAACTTTTTCTTAACTTTTCCTTTTAAACAAAAATACATATTTCCAATGCATTGTATCTTTTTGGAGAAATTAACTGGTTCTAAATAAGAAGTTATTAAAGGAATTATAGCAGTCTGATTTTCTGTTTTTATGATGTGATCAAGCAAGGCGTTTATGAAAAAAACTGTTGCAAAAGCCTTTATCTTCATCATCAACATACATGTATTAAAAACAAAAAGTTTAATATAATTTCCTATAGTTACATGGTCCTGATTTCATAAATTCTTAAACCATTATACTCTTCAATGCATTGTCAATTTATGGACAGATTTTTGTCTGATAAAAATAAAAAAATAAAACTAATGCTTTTCTTAATTTTATTTCTACATAAACTTATTAATTCAATCAACAGACAATGTTTGAAAAACAGATGTTCACGATAGGGGAGACTGAAAGAAGTGGGTGGGGCTTTCATCAACCTCTTGAATTTATGAAATGTAAATTTAAGGAATACTAGTATCTGTCTAGATGCTTTTGGTTTGATGATGAGATCAAGCGATTGGATGCGTGATAATTTATGCCTTTGGCGTTCATGCAAACCATCAAGAAAGCCAATTGCTTGATCACATTATTAAACCAAAAAAATCTAGACAGTTATTTCAGAATTAGGAAGGTGTTTACCATCTTGCAACCGTCTTTTATTAACTTATTTACAGAGGAAGTTGCACTTTCTATTGTATACATAAATATTGAGAATTAATGAGGTCTTTGAACAAAAAAAATCGAATGAGGTTATGAGGTCATTATGTGTCAGCAGTGAAAAACCACATACAAGGGTTGCTCCAAAAGTAATGTCAGTGTCCATATCTTTTTTATTTGGCGTCATATCAAATACATTATACCAAAAGATGCACAAATATCAATCTAATTAACATTTAAATTTTAATTTAATAATGTTTGTTTGAATTTATTTTATAGATGTTTAAAACATAGAGCATAGGGGGTGTCGCCACGTCACAACGGAACGTCACGTTTTGAAGTATATTTTTTTCTTAGAATGAAAAGGACATACACATTTAAAAGATTCTAAAAAAAAACCTAATCTCCCAATTTTTTAAAGACACAATTCTCGTCATTTTCTAGTTTATAATTGAAAATTAAATGACGACATTGGTATGTGTGATCATAAACATTATTGAATTAAACAAAGGGATTGTCAAAATGGGGAAAAAAGACTCGACGAGCTGCAATGCATTTTTGCTTCAAAATATGGTAACCATCAATAGCGACATTTTCGTTAATCAATCAGACTTGCATAATTAAGAATATAAATAGAGACATCTTAATAGATGGTTTCAGCAATCTTGGGTGGGTGATTGGTCACTGAATGATTAGCAAAGGACAAAAAGACTGAAAGATAGCGGATCGGACGGAAACGTTCAATGGTGTGTCTGACGTCAAAAAAAAAAGACAGACGTATAGAGTGACATGTGAATTTTCAAGTTTGTCTTATGATACTGTTCAAAAAATTTGATAGAGGGCTAGATTATGAAAAGAGTGAGTGTATAATGGTACCAAGAATTCTTAAAGAAAGTGAAATTGGTGAAAGTGTTTGCGAATCACAAATATTTTTGTAATGAAACAAAGGGGAAACACTTAAAAGTATGACGGTGTGTATCCATCATATGACGTTACATTTAGGTGCGGCGACTACCATAAACGCGCATTGTTTAAAATCCAATATTTTGAAAAGTATACATCATATTCCTTTGAATTTTTCAGGTCTGATTTGAAATATGTAAAGCTTCCATCATGTATATTGTGTTGCTTTACGTCAATTTATAGCAATTTTATCAAAGTTGTGAAATTACTTTTGGACCAAACCTCGTAAAAAAGACTGTGTTGTATTTTTTTTTTATTTCTATATTTTCAAGATCGAAGAAAATAAACTTTGGTAAACAAGCAGATACAAGTGTAAAATGTTTAAATGACAGACATGTCCAATGCCATCTTGTTTACCACAGAGTGGAAATTCACCGGTTATTCCCGGCGATATTGTAACAGAATACACTAGAATGTCACAGAAATTTGATTGTATGCACGCTTTAAAAATGATAATCCCACTGGTATCATAAAAAGAAATTTTTTTTAGTATACAGTGATGTATGAAGCAGAAAGGTTAACAAACAAAAGGTCCAGGGGCCACGTCGCTCACCTGAACACAACAGCAAGGAAAAAGCACAAATCGGATCAGAACTAAAAGTTTACTTAGGTCGGGGGAGGGGGGGGGGGGGACTGGGATTTTAACCCGACAGGGGGTCCAAATTTGACCAAACTAAAATAAACACTACCTGAGGATAATTGCATAAATACCGGGTATCACAAATCATGGCTTTGAAATACTTGAAAAGAAGATTTGAAAAGGTTTCCCTGTTTATTCCTATGTAAAACTTTGATTTGCCATTTTGGCCCCACCCTACCTCGGGGTGTCACAATTTAAACAAACTTGAATCTATACTACCTAAGGATAATTTCACACGAGTTTCATCTTTCCTGTCTCAATTGTTCTTGAGAAGAAGATTTTTAAAGATTTTTTCCTATATATTTAAGGAATCACTGTCTAGTTTGGAGAGTATGCCAGGGCATCAACAATAGTGGCATACTCTCCTAACTAGACAGTGATTCCTTATATTTCAATTTCATTGTTAAATAAAATTGTAGACTTAGACATTAAGAATATAGACTAATCGATTTAAATTACACGAGGACTTCCAAGCCAATTTCAATAGTCCTCGCAACCTGACGTCAAACACAAAGGCAGCTGCATGAGATTTACATGCATATTTGGCCTCCTTAGCGTCAGACCCCGAGACAGATGCGTAAGAAATTTGCATGCATATTAGGCCTCCTTAGCTGCTGACCTATTGACCTACCTAAGTTACATTCCGGCAGAATTATCAAGAAATAAACTCCCCCAACTTTCAAATAGTTATCACAGAGAAAAAAAATTAGAAATGGAAATATTTATATGTAAAACTTTGATCGGCTATTTTTGCCCCATCCTAACCCCGGGGGTCATGATTTGAACAAACTTGAATCTACACTACCTGAGTATGATTTCATATGAGTTTCATCTGTCCTGGCCCAGTAGTTCTTGAGAAGAAGATTTTAAAAGATTTTTCCTATATATTTCTATGTAAAACTTTGATCGGCCATTTTGGCCCCATCATACCCCCGGGGGTCATGATCTGGACAAACTTGAATCTACACTACCTGAGTATGATTCCAAATGAGTTTCATCTTTCCTGGCCCAGTGATTCTGGAGAAGAAGATTTTTGAAGATTTTTCCTAAAAATTCCTATGTAAAACTTTGATCGGCCATTCTTGCCCCACCCTACCCCCGGGGTCATGATTTGAACAAACTTGAATCTACACTACCTGAGGATGAGCCTTATGAGTTTCATCTTTCCTGGCCCAGTGGTTCTGGAGAAGAAAAGTTTTGAAGATTTTCCTATATATTCCTATGTAAAACTTTGATCCGCCATTTTGGCCCCAATTTACCCCCGGGGGTCATGATCTGAACAAACTTGAATCTACACTCCCAGAGTTTGATTCCACATGGGTTTCATCTTTCCTGGCCCAGTGGTTCTTGAGAAGAAGATTTTTTAAAAACGCTATTAATTTTTCTCTAACTCATAATTATCTCCCCTTGGAAAAGGGCATGGCCCTTATTCGA